TATCATTTAAAATCTCTTGTCATGAATCCTGGAATAAAATTTTTTTCCTTAAACAAACTTTATTATTATCTGATCAAGCTGTGAGTAGCTTTCTCGAGGGGAATCTGAATAAGAAATAACGAGTTTTGTGTGCGTCCAAAGTTATCATGAAGGAGATCGTGTGTGTAGGAGATGAGGACTCAAAAGAAATCGTGGAGTCATCTAAAAAGGACTGCAGAGGAGACAGTGAAATGTAGATATGCTGTTGAAGTCGGATATTCCACTTGGAGCTCAAGGGAATAATAATCATAATAGTCAGAGGACTGACTGATTGTTATAGTTTCTTAAAATGATATTTATTATTATTATTCCCTTCGGTTCCTAGTGGAACATAGGGCTTCAAATACACGTCTCCACTTGCTTCTGTCTTCTGCTGTACTTTTCACCTGCATCCATTTTAATCCATACTGTTTCAACTCCTCTTCACACGATCTCCTCCATGTCACCCTTGGACGTCCCACTCACCGCCTCCCTTTCGGGTTCCACTCGAGCGTTGGCCTGACACGCAATTTCAGCTAGCGGACTCCTCAGAGAGTGTCCATTCCATCTCCACTTTCTCCTGCATATTTGTTGAGCGATTGGTTCTTGTTTTGTTTCTTCCCATAGTTTCTTGTTGGTGATTCTTTCAGGCCATCTGATCTTCAGTATAGAACGAAGACAGCTGTTGATAAAGGTCTGCAACAGGCTGTTGGAAATATTCTTTGTGACCCGCCGCCAAGTTTCTGATCCGTACGTATAGAAGAACTGACTGACTTGACGTTTGTATTGAAAATCCGAATTTTGTTGTTGATGCTGAGTTGAGTGACGAAGATTTCCAGATTGGTTTCAGGTTGATGAATGTGTTTCTCTCCTTCCCGATTCTCGATTTGACATCCTCGTCCGTTCCATCTGCCTGTATTTGAGACAATGCTCCCTAGATAAGTGAAGTGAATGAAGTAACCTCTTTCAAATCCCTCCCGTTGATGGTGATTGGCGCTGGATGTTGCTGCTGCTGTTGTTGTTGTTGGTTATTTTCATGACCTCCATCTTGTCTATGTTCACCTGGAGTCCTGTCTTCTCTGGCTGCTTCTTCGACCAGTTTGTCGGTTTTCGCTTGTAAGTCTTCGATTTTTTGTGACATCAAACATAAATCATCCGAGAAGTCCATGTCGGTCCAGGATATCCCTGTCTTCTCGTTTCCCACTGTCTGACGCATAATCCAGTCCACCACAATTAGGAATCAATATCATTGGTGATAATAAGCACCCTTGTCTGACTCCTGTGTTTACTCCAAACGTCTCGGTGAGTTTTCCGTTGTGGATCACTTGACATGTGCCGTTGTTGTACAGCTGTTGAGTAAATTTGGGGTACGCCGTAGTACTCGAGTAGTTTCCAAATTACTTCGTGATCAACTCTGTCGAAGGCCTTCTCAAAGTCTATAAAGTTGAGGTAGAGATTTGATTGCCATTCCATGCTTTGTTCGATGATGACGCGTAGAGTTGCGATTTGGTCAGAACATGATTTGCCTTTCCTGAATCCAACTTGTTCTGGTCGGAATTCTGTATCCAGTGCGTCCTTTATTCTCTCCAGGATGATGCGACTCAGGATTTTACTTGGCGTCGACAGGAGCATGATTCCTCGCCAGTCCTTGCAGAGTAAGGCCTAAGTCGCCCTTCTTTGGTAGTTTCACCAGGTAACCTTTCCTCCAGTCAGTAGGCACCTTTCCCTCTTTCCAGATCTTTTGCAATAATGGAGTCAGCATATCTGCTGTCGTCTCTGGGTCCGCTTTCAGTGCTTCCGGGGGTATTCCATCTGGTCCAGCTGCTTTTCCAGCTTTCAGAAGCTTGATTGCATTCAAGACTTCAGCTTTAGTTGGAGGATCGGTGTCAACTTGCAGTTGTGTACGTGCTGTTGTTGGTATTTCTGGACGGGTTGTAGGTTGTGGTCGATTCAAGAGTCCTTTGAAGTGGTCTTCCCATTGTTTATTCTGTCTTTCTTCTTTGGTAATTGGGTTCCCCTGGCTGTCTTTTATAGGTTTCACTTGTGTTGATCTCTTCCCGGATAGAGAGTTGGTTATCGGATATAATGTCCTCAGGTCCCTTTTGCCTGCTGCCTTCTCAGCTTCAGTAGCCAGGTTGTCGTGGAATTATCTTTTGTCCATCCTGGCACTCTTCTTCACTTCTTTGTCCAGTGCTGTGTAAGTGAATGGTGAATAGAGCTTAGCGTAACGAAAACTGAAGTCATATGTCAGAATCAAATAGAAAGTCACCAAAATGATACAGTCACAAAAACGAAAAGTTACGGAAAGGCTACCATATTCGTTTTGAAAACATAAATCAATTTTTAGACGTTTCATTTAAATAACCTCAGCAAAGTGAGCAGGATTTTGGCTAATTTCATCTGTCGATTATTCTTAACATCACCCAGAACGTCTACTCCATGTCGTGTCTTTCAGGTGTTACCGGCTGAGGTAATCAATTCATTCGACTTCTTTACGCGTAGGCTTCTCGGTATGTCATGTTACCATCTTCAGTAATATACTGTTTTTAACGAGAAATTTTATTTTAACAAACGATGAATCTACAATGCATTAACATAATTTATCATTCTCATGTTATACTTCACCATTATATTATTATACAAGGAGATATTGGAACAAACCAACCAACAGCCTTTTGTCCAATTAATTTACAGAAGGGAATGCAGATGGATCGATCATATGCTGAGCAGACATTCAAGTGACATCACGTGTCAGGCTCTCAAGTGGAACTCAGATGAGAAGTGACGCTTGGGGGTAATGTAAAGAAGATCATGTGAAGAGGAAATGAAAGCTTATGAGCAGTAGTGAAGCCAGTTGACAGTGATGGCAATAGACCTAGTGGGATAAGATTGTGCTTCTGAAGACCTATACTCCACACGCGACGCAGGGAACGAATAATTATAGTAATATAATGACGTTATTACACTATCCATTATAGGAGACTCTTTCTTAGTGATGAATTGAGGTATGTTAAAACTATCATAACTCTTTGTATTCAGTGTTACAGGTTATACACAACTAAAGAGAACTCACGAAATCAAATAGATTCGTGTTATTCTCCGCCTCCTGTATTTGTTCTTTCTTTCCTCGAATACAAAGGTATTATTTATAGCTTGCTGAAAAACAAACGCTTCCTGTTATCTGGGGAAATAATACATCTATCTAGTGAAAATTTAATGTGATAGTTTCGATTAATCGACCAGAGACACGAAAGACACAGCAGGTTATGTAGGATTTTTTATTGTACCTTGATTCCACACCGTATTTTCGGTACAAGTATGGAATTTTCAGCATGTGATACCGGTAGCCCAAATTTTGCAGGCCGACCATTGATATCAGGTGTGCGTCGGCAGGAAATCGAACCCCGGACCATGTGCATGGTCGGCCGCCGACGCACACTGTCTCAATATAGTTATTTCAGGGGAGTTATCTAATGAAATGGATAGTAATTAGGGTTGATGCAGATTTGTAGCTCAGTGATCATTGGGCACATTTATCTTAATAATTTGATCATTTCCAACTGATTGGGTGAAAAAATGATTCTTAAGAGTTTTTGTTCAACTGTATCAGTTTATTTGGAGGCTTGAGTACTACAAATCATTTTCAATAACTAACCTAACTTACTAATATTTTTTTAAAATAATTTTTCTTTTTTCAGCAGGTTAAGATATCCATTTGACAGTTATGTTTATCAAAAAGTATCAAGTAATTCCATGTACACTTTATCATGACATCAAAGTGACGTAACAAATGAAGAGACTCATTTTTTTCCATAAATTAGCAGCCACATTAATTCCTGTAAATGTTGACGGTGGTTTTGAAATTACAGAAGCCAGGTGAAAATTGCTCATAACACTATACACTGCAATATTGCAGATGGTATCGTGCTGATATTGAATATTTGGTCGTTCAATTCAGTACAGATTTATTGACTCTTATCTTCATTACAAAAACAAATGTATGAAACCAATCACACGCCTGCACACCAACACTTGAAGATTATTCTAGTTCCCACCAGTAGTGACTGACTAGAGGATGAAGTCGTCTGAGGTTCCGGTGGAAGATCGTGACCAGCCGAGTCCACCAAATTGGGTATGAGAACAAATACTCGCCTATGACATCGACTGAGGTTGGCGCTAAAAAGTCTCGAATATGAGGAAGTTAGTATGGATGGGTCGATCAGATTCTGTCCCAGTGGCTCAATGGTCACTGAAGTCACCTTTTAGCCTAAAGGCAATTGATTCGATCCCCTGCGGGTAGGGTGGTGT